GTTGTATTCTGAGTGATTTAAAAACGGAGGGGTGCATTTGGTGGCACGATAACAGAAATTATTCTGCTGCTGTTCATGACTTTGCAATTGGCCAGTTTTTGATTTTCAGAAGTAAATCACAAGGTCATCCATCCTGATCATTTGTAGTCCAAAGCTCCTGTCCACTAAGGGAGAACCTGCTGGCATTTGGAATGCCTGTAGCATAGCTTCCACCATCACAGCAAACCGCAAGCCACCAGAGTACAACTAAGAGACAAGTGGTGGGAAAATAAAGAACATCTTCAAAGTGCAGCCCTTCGGCTGCTAATCTCCCACAATGTTTAACCCTAAAGACTTCCTCTCCTAGTTTATATTTCCACACTCATTCCAAGTGACATATCTTAAAAGACTCTTCCATTTTGCTTGACATCAGGTGTGGGAGAGTAGAGGGACTTTGTTCATTCCTCATTCCCCAAGGCTTAAAGTGTTAGGCATCACATCGAAATTTAAGGGAATAAAACTATTTTGAGGAGCAGAACAGAATAGAAGGGATTAATTTTCAAATATTTAAATATAGGTGACAGAGGCTGCAGTAATGCTCACTGAAATGTTACTTCAATCTAACTTGACAAACATGGACAAACAATAAATGTTGGTTGGATTGAATTGAAATGTTAACATTTATCCTCCTGTGATATTTCGCTGCAGAAATTAGAAAGTATCCTTAGACTATAAACTAAATTCCATCCGAGATGAATGTGAGATTTAAAATAAATACAATCATCAAATATTTATATCTAGCCTTATTTCAAGACAGCCGTCATTGAATTACTTAGCAGCTTAGACAGTGAAATAATGCAGAGATTCCACCACATTCACATATTATGAGAAAACACAAATGAAGGGACACAACTTCCAGATTTTTATTTTCTGGTAATATTGGATAACTATAAATACTTAGGACAAATGGTTTTACTTTTTCACTACAGGGTAGTTATCACCCTACTTTTAATGTTGCTATTTCAACCCTACTTTTACTCG